ATCACTGCTCCCAATCCTATCTGCAGCCATTACAAGTCAGAGAGTCAGAGCGCCGATGCTTGGCCCCAGGCGCCTTAGAGCTCCACTGCGGGATTAAGGTAACAGGATTGGAGTGCAGACACCCTGATGAGAAGCATATGGGAGGATGTTTTGACTAACTGCAGTCAGACTATGGTGATGGGAAGCACCGAACAATCTTCTAATACATGTGTCCGTGTCTATGACTCATTAATTCAATTGTTAATATTGAGTACTTATAATGCGTTAGCTCAAGAGGTGTAGCAGGTCATCCATGCAGTCCGCATGTTGAAGTGGTCTTGGGCAAGATACTGAACCCCAAACTGCTCCTGAAGGCTATGCCAGGGCTTTGAGTGGTCAAACTATCAACTATCAACTATTTGACAATTTGGCCTAAGGAGCCTGATTTGACTGACAATGTCACCGTTGTTGGAGTGGCGAGAAAATGTAGAAATGAAACAAAGGATAATTCCATTCCAGCGAAAAAATGTGAAATTACTCATGTCCCTTCAATCAATCTCCTTAGTTTGTGTGAATAAATCACCATCTCGGAGCAGCATCTTGGCGATAACCTCAGAAAGGCTAAATGACAACAAAAGACCACTGATTTACACAAGACACAAACAAACACCATGGGTCACTATTAAGAAACAACAGCTAAGCAATAGTCACAAGTATCTTGGGCCAATACCTTTGTTGTTTTTACGATTTTTCGATAGATATATACAGCTTCAATAACGATAATTAATGACCAAAAATAACATGATTTGTCGATCAGTCGACGATAGGCCAGACTTGACCAATCAGATTTGACTATGTACTATGTAAAAGATACTGAAAACACAACCTCATTGTCCTAAGCGGTAGCTACGGTCCTGTCTGGGAGCTGTGAATATAGAATGAAGAGCAGTGGATCTCATGGCCTCCTTAAACTTCTGATGACATGTAAGTTGCAACTGCTTTTGATGCTCTAATACTCTTTCTAAAGACAACGGGAATATCAACTGACCTGCTGAAATAAAGACCGGCCTTCTGGAATAACAGCTGACCTGCTGGAATAACGGCTGGCCTTCTGGAATAACAGTTGACCTGCTGAAATAATGACTGACCTGCGGGAATAACAACTGACCTGCTGAAATAGAGACTGGTCTTCTGGAAAAACAACTAACCTGGCGGAATAACAGCTGACCTGCTGAAATAAAGACTGACCTACAGGAATAACAGCTGACCTGTGGAAATAATGACTAGCCTTTTGGAATAATAACTGACCTGCTGGGATAACAACTGACCTGCTGGGATAATAACTGACCTCATGGAATAACAACTGACCTTCTCGAATAACAACTGACCTGCTGGAATAACGACTGACCTGCTGGAATAACGACTGACCTTCTGGAATAACGACTGGCCTTCTGGAATAACAACTGACCTGCTGGAATAACAACTGACCTGCTGGAATAACGACTGGCCTTCTGGAATAACGACTGACCTGCTGGAATAACGACTGACCTTCTGGAATAACGACTGGCCTTCTGGAATAACGACTGACCTGCTGGAATAACGACTGACCTGCTGGAATAACGACTGGCCTTCTGGAATAACAACTGACCTGCTGGAATAACGACTGACCTGCTGGAATAACGACTGGCCTAAGAAAGATCCTAAGACAGTCATTTTCATGTTTGTGACATCATTCCAATGTAACTTCTATGGGCTGAGTGGGACCAAGCTGAGAAAATACATTGCACTATGTTATGTAAGACAGTTATTTAAGATGATCAGTATGCAATCAAACTTTCTGCCCTTCACATATAAATATATATGTATATATTCATTCATGTCACAATATGTCATGTTGTGGGTTAAATTAATAATTAATAGTAAATATATCAGTTGTCATCTGACAGAGATCATAAAATACAGCTTTATAACAAAACAAAGGACAGCTGATGAAGCTGTGCCACACGTCATATTTAATTGATGTCTCTTTAAAATGTCGACTCTGAGGCAACGACGTCTCAATATATTAAACGTCTGTTGCCTTGACTCCTCGCGTCTCTTGCTTCCCTTGTCCGCTCACATCGGGACGAGGACAGGAGGCAAGGAAAGGAATCAAGGAGACGTGTTAGCATAATGAAAAGCAGCTCTGGAGTAAATGGAACATCAGCCTTTTTCAGTGGCTTCTTCCCTAACCTCTCTCTTGCTTCCAAGGCCTCCATCCCTCGGTTTGGTGAAGGTTTTGTGTGTTTTGTTTGCACCCATCACGCTCTACACTCATCCATATGCTGCATTCATTACTGTTATGATTAGGATCATCATTATTTTACTATAAATTTATAATAAACTTAATTACTTTAAAGTTGATTTCATGTGTGTTTCCCTGTTTTTGCCACTGACTTTAGGCCAGACTACACACATTATAATATACATACCACTGTATTATGTGCCTCTTTGCTTTGCTGCTGACACTGTCTGAACGTTTTTCCATTCTGTACTGAAAACAAATTTCACAGACTCATCATGTGTCCATTAAAGTGAAGCTTAGTTATATCGGCCTTCATAGTATGTATGCTCCTCCTTTGCTGGAATGCTCCTGTACCTGATTCCAGGTTCCCTTTCTATCAATGAGTTTGGGGTAATTTGATTAAAAAAGTGGTAATGGGATTTTTAGAATATGCATCATGTAAGGATCCACTAAAAAACAAGAAACAGATTTCGACATCAGGACCCTCTTTAAGACAATGTCAGGATTAAAGTCTTCTTTACTTCACTGGGATGTGGAACTTCACTGTGCAGAATGATCGGCACAGTTTGACACAATACGACTGTTTTCACTTTTATCTGCTGAAGGGATAAAGTAGAGTTTTGTTACATCACGGCTAGTTTGGAAGATAGTCATGCTCCAATATCCAACTAGTATGACCTGAAAAGACACATTTACTGTCCTAATTTGTTTAAATGTTCTCTATAGAACAATCAGAGCACAAATATAGCAGCTATCATCTCTGTAAAGATCTAGAGGAATGTCTCCCTGAGCACAGAATGAAGTCTCTCTCCCTCAGTGTGTTGTTATCACAGCTTCTCTGTGCTTTGTTCATGTATCTGGTCCGGCCTCACGTACATGTGAGTGCATGTGAGCCTGAGTGTGTGCCCCACTGGCTAGCTAATCGCTGGCGCTCTGCACTGTGCTCAGTCCTGGGAACATGGGCTTCAATAAAAACAGAACATATAACTGTTAACACACACTGCTGATCAAGTGTTCAGTTTACATTGAACTGCCTGTAGACTAGTTTGTGACCTTGTAGTCCCGTCCAGATGATTTCAGATTGTGGCACCATACAACTGAAGGCTGCTCCTAAATGCAACAGTTATGCTGCAGGGTTTTCAGAGGACTAGTGCAGTGCCTGTTCAGAACGGGCTGAATGTTTTGCCTGTGGTGTTGCTGCTTTCTGGAAAACACACTTATAAGTTCACACTCAACTCACTTTCTTGTGTTCCTCAGCAACACACCTGCCATGACAAACTGTAGACACAGCCAAGTCACAGCTACTCACAGTCAGAAACACAGTAAAATACACTCTGGTTCAGGCAAAAACACCAGGACTTCATCATTATGCAAGGCAACTGCCTGGGGGCCTCAACTAAAATGGCCCCAAACCATGCAGCATCAAACATCGGTTCAATAAGTTGTATTTTTGGTCCAGTGCTGTCGTTCTAAGGCTGAAGCCTGGCCTAGTATACAGTAAAATAAATCGATTCAACAGTTTCATAATGCATACTACTGACCAATTCAGTATACTGTATACTACTGCCTCCGTCAGTAGTATAGTATGGTTTGGAATACAGCAGAGATTCCCTGCTTTATTAGAAATGGGTCCCACCTCACTAGGGCCTCTGCTGCTTACTTTGTGAGACTGTTGGTGGCCCATGGTGTAACAGTTCTGTTTGGTATGGGAGCCAGGACACAGTGGAACTCAGTTCAACTTTTCAAATGAGCAATAATAGATTATTCATAGATTGTTTTTTTTTAATGAAGGTGCACTATATGTCATTTTAACAAGGTAATTTAACTTTTTTGAGGAAAAGAAGCATTGAAACTTTAAGAGATAATGCAACACTAGCTTTGTGTTTTATTGTACCTTACTGTAGATTTTCTTTCAAATTAGCATTTAATCTATATAATTAACTACAAGATCACAACTGTCACTCTGAACCAGACAAGTACGACAACGTCAAACGTCAGTCAGAGGCGTCATACGGTTAAATAACCGACTGTCATGAATCCTCCAAGCCAGAGGTATTCAACAGGGGGTCCGCGGAGGTACTGCAGGGGGTCCGCGCTATTTTTGGTTGATTAGACAATTTTTACATTTTCTTTGTTTGTTTTCCAAACATGAATCTGTCCATTATTTTAATAGTTCAGTATTGTATGCAAGATAACATGTATGTTTATGCATGGCAATGGCACTAATAGTCCATCACTCATTTTCGTTTCCACATTTATGTTTAAAATGAAAATATCAATGTCAATAGCTTGTATGGATGATTATCATGCAATTGACAGACAATGTTGATATTGGCATTGGTATCAGCTGACACGGTGTGTTTATAAATGGCAGTGGCACGCCTCCCTACTCACTGTACCTTGCACATGTTTAAAATAAAAACATGAATATATGAACCTGTGTATTATTTGAATAGCTTAGTATTGAATGCACAATAAAGAGGTATGTTTATACATGGCACTAGGCCCAGTTTAATATAAAACACCATTTTATACAATTTATATAGTCGGGGGTCCCTGCTCCATCTCTCTATCAGTTTGGGGGTCCTTGGCCTGAAAAACGTTGAAGACACCTGCAAGCAGGTAGACTACTTAGCCCATGGATAGCGTACGGCCTGTTTTTATTAACTGGACTTTGAATGCAGCAGCACTGATCCACAGGAGTCCTCAGCGCTGCTCCGCGGTACGGCCGGTGAGAACGGTCACCACTGTGGCGGCTGGAGAGACGGAGAGTTTGTGTCTAACAGATGGATAAAGGTCAGTCAGCCGGAGGAAGCCCACATGTCGGTCCGATTAGAATCGGGCCGACAGAGCGTCCCGTTACCGGCGAGCAGCGTCCGTCCAATTGATTTGAAGGGGAATGAATGCTGACACATCCACGCGGTCGGTCAGAGAGGGCACGCGCTGCACGAGCTGGAGAGCGGGCAGAGTAATGCGTTTAAGGGACGGGGCCACTTAGCTGCTACTGTGGAAGTCCACTACAGCGGAACACCTGGACACGTTTGGACAACATGTCTCTGCTCAAACAGCGGGGGAGAGAGCTCGAGCGGTTCGACGGACTGTCGCTCATCTACTGGTACGTGAAACGGGTTTGGCTTCAACACCTGCGCGGACAGAGAGCGCAATAATAAGTCCAGAAAACTTCATTATGAATCTGCAAATGGGTCTTTTCCTTAAACGTTTCTTTCAGACAGTCTGAGAGGTTGGGCTCTCTAAAGTCCGGCGGTACCGCTGTTCTTATGGTAACATGTGGCTCACTGCTTCTTCACACTATGGAACGTGGAGTCAGCACCAAGTTGATCCTATCTGAACTCACAGATGACCAATCATAATTAATACGCATGCTCAGTGTTGACCAACAATGTGTGAAGTCTAACATTTTATTATTCACCTGATAAAGGATGTGCGATGTATGTGTGTGGGACAGTTGGTGAGGATCACATACGGTTCAGATGGCTCTTTTTATTTGTTTATTCATTTTAATTCTGCACATACATATCTAAACAATATAACACAAGATACACCAAGTATGTCAGAATGGAAGGTAGTGGTATTTGTTTCAGTAGCAGTGATGATCAAACCCTGCACATTAAGCCCATCATTCACAGTAACACTGCATCATATGCGCAGTGATTCAAGTAGTTAAAGTCTCTTGCATTTTGAAGAACATATTGCAATGCCAGTGATTGATTGATTATTATTTTTGTGAAATATGGAATTACATGACACAATATTTAGAGCCAAATAGTAAAGTATTTAGCATGTGTAAAGCAACAGACAAAGCGAGCCTCTCCCGGGTAAAGAATGTCAGTCTTCATATAAAACTAGATGAATCGTGATGAAATGTGAACGATCCCATGGGAATTAGGGCAGTTTGGAGAGGGGGGTTCATTCTGGTCTTGTGATGTGTCCTGAGGGGAGGAGTCAGCTGAATGTAGGTGCTGAGTGGACTGTTGAGGCTGGGTCAGCCGGTAGCGCTTAAAGGCAGGCTGAGGAGAGGTGAAGTGACAGTGTTGAGTAGCCGTCTCTCCCACAGACAGAACCACCCCTAAAGTTTCCCTCATGATTCTCTCCTCCCAGAAGTTGCCCGAGCTCTGGGACTACTTTCTGATTTACATCTCAGGAGCCCTAGAGTTTAATCCTGACAGCAGAGACATAGACCTGGGACTGTTTCCTCTCAGGATGAACCCCACCATTAAGACCAGGTATGTGTGACACACAGGGAGAGTCAGGAGCAGCCGGGAGGAGGGATGCTTGATAATCTGCTCTTATACGTGACATTGATGTGCTTCACGGCACATGTTGAGAAACACGGAGAATGAGTCATGTGTGGAATGCTTATTGGTTAAATCTCTTTAAAGATGTGCTGTTTTGCAGGAATAACAGAAAGTGGTTTGTGTATTTGTACCATTGACAAGATATAAGTCTGTAGATTGTATTTAGTAATATCGTAGTACAAAAAGACTCATTATAGATAAGATCGATTTATTGATAATCGTAACAAAAAACAATGATTTTAATCAAATGGCTTGTTTCACGATTTTCCTGAAACATAATCTTGATAGAGATGTGACAGTACTCGGGTAGGAAGGATATGATTGTCGGTCATTCTGACTTATTTCTGAATTTGTATTGATGCAATGAGTAAACAGTCCTGTAGCTGCATAATCCGTCACTCAAAGTGGAAGCCATTGTTGATTAGATGTTGTAAGGCGGTTTGGCTGCAGTAGAGGTTGTACAGTATATGAAAGCATAATGACTCAACACGATGTGTGGCCTACAACAGAAAGGAAAAAGATGTGAAATGAAGAGATCATTGTGGCTGGACTGTTCCGTATTGAAGATTTGGAGCATTTGGTTCCCTGTGTGGTCCGTGAGCCACCAGGTGGTCCCCTGCAAAGGGAAGAATCGTCTCTCCTGAAGCCATGGATAATGTGGAACAGTAACCTTCTGTGCTCTTATTTTGGGACGGCATCAATCAATGGCAAAAGCTGTCACGTGTAGTCTATTGTTGCCTTCACACTAACTTATTATGACCCAAGAGGAGCGCACATAGAGTCTTACCGACTGACCGGTTACTCATACATTGGACAGTGGTGATGTCATCCTGCATCATCAGTGCTGGACCTCGTCTGTCATTATGATGAATAAGTAGAAACCAGGAGGATATGATTCTGCTATGGACCGGCTGAATGCCTGGGAGGAGGATGTACAGGTATCTCCTCAGAGGAGTGGAGTGAACTTTGACCCTCTTGCTCATACATCTCTTGCACAGAGCATTGTGGGTCAGAGTAGCCAGAAAAGCACGTTTGCTTGCATACATGTACATAATAGGACATCCTGGTATTTTTGACATACTGCATTTGACATACGATGTCATATTGGGACCTCCAAATTATATTTTTTTGGCATACTAAATAGTCTGGTAGTTTTGGTGCTAGAATGCACGGACAGTTATCTCTGTCAGCACTGTTGCCGATGCTTGCACTGTTAGCGCTGTTAGCATCGATAGCTTCTAGCGTCTAGCTTCTAGTTGCCTGCTCAGCTGCCGCCATGTTGAGAGTTGTGGAGGCAACAGAAATGTTCTGAGTTTGGTATTGAGCATTTTTTAACAGTAGCATTCAAGACACATGTATTTAGTGTGACAAGAAAAAGGAACGACGCTGCATCACTGCCTTTGGGATGGTGGGCAGATGAGAGTTTGGGTGCGAGGTATCACATGCAGTAGGCAGGATGATTGAAGTACCTCTACACCTACCGTTGTTTATACTAGGGATTTATCCAATTAATTCTATCATCTAAACAGATAACAGTGTTGCTCCAGGCTAAGCGACTCATAACTTTATCTTGGGAAATATAAGGTGGCAGCGTTTTGACCAGTGGCTCAGGGAGGTGTCCTCCTGCCTCTCAATGGAGAAAATCCTTTGTAATTGTTCAAGGTAAAGTGAGACCTTTGATTCAATCTGGGAAGCTTTCATTCACTTTATGTAAGATATGTATGAAGCATTACAAGAGGCTGAGGAGAAGGGACAATATCTGAGTGATGAATGGCTGTTTCTATGAGCAGGGAGGAAAAGTAACCTGTTACATAATTCTTTATTTACTCATTTACCTTACATTATTTTATCTATTTTAATGTTTTGTCATTTAGTGTTGAAAAAAAAATAACCTGGGTGACCAGAGGCATTGGTACGGTAATAACCAGGGAGGATAGTTACTGTGTAGCCGCGACATTTCAACTGGTTTGACTCCCTTTTTCATGAGCAACTGTTAAAAGTCTGATCACCATCAGCTGTGTTCTACAGGCAAAGTCTCACGCTACAATGACGAGCATCGTTATACAAATCAGAGTGATAGATTGATAGGTCGCCTCGGAGATCTGTGAAGGTTGATGATCAGCAGATGCATTTAATAAAATGTGCCTTTTTAACATCACATACCTCCGGTTACACTGTCCTCTGGTTGGTCTGCTTTGATTTGACACTACGAGCTGAGTTGGAACAGAACTCACCAAGCTCCACTGAACTTGTTGGAAGTCCCAAAGTGGCTTAAGGTACTGTATGGTTTTAAGAGGACAATGATTTACTTTGGTGGTTTTCTGAAGTATTGCATAAAACAGATATGGGAGTGTGCTCACTTTATTGCCACTGTGTCATTGGACAACGTGCTGGTGCTGTGTTGAATTCTTTGTCCATAGCATAATGACATAAGGGCTGCAGGTCAAAGTAACAGGTGCTTATGGATATTATAGCAGATTATACATGTCATTCTTGTTGATGTAGATGCTTTAATTTAACTCATTGTATTCTGAAACATTTGACCAGCATGGAGCATGAATCACACACTGCAGCTGCCAACTCAGATCAAACCGGATGTTGAGACAGATGGTGCACTGCTGAGTGCAAACGCTGTTCTTTTCTTTTTCTCTGTCTCTTCCACTTCAAATTCATATCTTGCTTTGGGCACTAGATGCTTGGCAGAAGCATCCGGCCAATATTGGCCTTTTGTTCAATTTCAAATTCCAGCCTGTCAGTTTCACTCCCCTTTGAAACGATGGACGGAGGTTCCTGCTGTGACACATTTGTATTATTGTGTTGTGGGAGGATTTTCTCATCTGTCACTAAGACCTGAAATTTACCTTACCTGTCTCAGATTGAAAAAGGTTGTCTGGAACAGTTTTTAAGATAGCTTTATTGGTAACTGACAAGGGTGGATAGACAGGATGGAGAGCTGTAGTATAGCTGCTGTTAAAGGAGACTCTAGATGATCTGTTGACTAGTGACCTCTGGCTGAAGCGAGGCGTGGTGGAGGATAAGAAGGTAGAAGTGTGGCAGGAATCCAGAGATGAGGGTTAGAAGCAGGTCACTGGCTGCTTATTGGAAGCCGCTTGGGTTAACGCTACAGTTGTTATCAAGGTGGAAACTTTCTATGGGACTTAACGTAAATTTATGGTAATTAACATGAATAAAATGTAAACACATGGGCTATATGTTCAGGATGTGTACTATGTTAAATGCAAATATAAACAAACCTTTTCCATATCAAGCAGACAAAATCCATTCATTTGCCAAATGAATAAAAGAATGGTCAAGCCAACAGGGTGGGCTGTGTGTAATTTGACTGAATACTGGCTATGGTCTAAGTTCATAATTAGAAAATAACGATTTTGTAATTGAAAGTTGAAGAATATCCGAAAAATGTTCCGACCCTCTGCAACCCTGCTTAAGACAGTCCAATAAAATCAGACCAAATCAAACAAACAGGACTTTCCTTCAGGAGGCCGCTGTTCAAAAAAAGTAAATGCTGACATTTAGTCACATGAGACGTTAGTGTCGTAAGTCATGTGACTCGCGTTAGTAGCCAAGTTTACGTCAACCACGATCTTTTCCTGAAGTGTTTTTGTTGCCAAAACCTAACTTTTATTTTGTAACGTCTTGTGTATTGACAGTCGTTCAAAACTGGCGCTAGAGGAGTATAAAGAGCGTCACACTTTGAAGCTTATAGCCACTGACCAAGCTGCATTATTTGACGCATTGGTGTGAGAATGTGTCGGCATTATCACACTACACCATACAT